ATTCAGAGAAATGGTTAACAAATACACAGCAATTTTAAACAGTTTTGCAGAGGGCCCAACATACTCAAGCATTTTTTTTCCAACAATTTTGCTTGGCCTCAAACGTATCCACTAAATTAAGGCCGAATAAAAAAAATACATGTTTCTCATCCGGGTTTTTGAACAAAAGGAGGAAGAGGGGCTTTTTATTTATTTATTTTTTTTCAAGATGGCCGCCATTTTAAAATTTCCTGCAACCGTTGGTGTTTCTACTGTTCAAAGACACTTTTAAAATGATAGACAATTAAGTTGGACAAGAGAACTGAACATATTTACAGTGTAATTTAGAGTTGTATTGGTCTATACTGAAAACTTCGACTCACATAGTTCGAAAGTATTTGTGGACTTTTTCGATGTTTTTTTTTACTGCATTTTTCTAAAATAAAAAATAATACAAAAAATCCAGGCGGCCTCCAAAATGGAAGCCGGCGGGGACGAGAAACGTGTTTTTTTTTTACTTTGCCTCACACATTTTCCTTACAAAATCTACTGCACTTTGTAAAAAAATAAAGTGACATTATCTTAAGACATGTAAGTAGGAACAGCATTCGAGAAAGTTAAACTTTAACTGGCTTAAAAATATAAATGGGTGCAGCTTAATGTTACCGGCAAGAGACAATGTAAAATTATGTACACATAATACAAAGGAAGGTCGTTACCAAAAAACTTCACAGGACAAGTTTCTTTACCAAAAAAAAAAATATGTACAAGCAAACATAATTACATACTCATGTACATGCAGGCAATGTTAAGGATGCAAACATTTCTTGATAAATTCAAATTTGTTAAATTTATACTGTGGATATACAGCATCAATTCATTTGTACAAATTGCAAAAAAAAAAAGAGTTTGTAAAAATTACCCCCCAAAATCAGGTACATGCATTGGCAAAAATGGTTAATGTGTAATTTTTTCCCCTTAATTTTCAAAAGTGTACTACGTGATCCTGCTTGCAAAATCGCGCTGTAATTTCCTTATTGTTCGAACTGAACGACTATGAAATATATGCAAAGGGACAGGATATGTCAATTTTCATTAGCGTGAACATATCAAACGTGTAAACATACACGTACATGTATACATGTATAATTGCACTTACATACATTGAAGCAATTTCATCAAGGTAAGTGTTCATGTAAACATGAAAAAGAAAGATTGCAGAGCTGATGAAGAGCGACATTTATTTTGATAAGCAACCTGATAACAAAGTGGTTTATTTTTGGTTTCAACCGTCATTGGGTTCATACATGTACAGAAGCACCAATGAAAGGGCAATGAAAGGGCCTTAGGCAAGGTAAAAAAGTAACCAGCTTCTCATCCCCGCCCACTCCCTTTTTCCTGCCTGCCATCTTGGAAAATCCGCCATCTTGAAAAAAAACAACAACAAGGAGGCGACTCGAAGGAGAAGTTATTATTTTTGTTTTACTTGGCCTCAGGTAGACACAGAAGCACCATTGAAAAGGGCAGGCCTTATTGTATTTTTTCTCAGTAGCAGAATGAAAAGAAAAACCGTATTAGAATGTCGCTTCATCTGCTGTGTGAATGCCAAAAGAAAAAATTATGTTTAATGACCCGGTTTATTTGTAATTACCTAGAAAAGTATCGCACAAAACATGGAGGACTTCCAGACTCATCATTTTTATATTGTTAGATTGTGAAGTCTCTTTCAAACCAAATTTATTTAAAGAGACAGTGGCCATTCAAAAAGTATTTTCAACCTTGTTTTTAGTATTTCCACATTTTCTTTGCAATTGATTACACACCTGTGAAGGGGTACAAGCCTGCCAGACTGATTCTCTGACCTTACAATGCCCCAACGTTGACAAACTTCTGCGTTTCATCTTAAGTGGGGTCAGGAACCAGACTACAAGAACATGATGTTTTTCATGTTTTTTTTCCAGCATCTTCAAGCTCAAAACGTGAAACAAGTCAGTTTAACAAAATTTGCTATAACATTGTAATCCCCCAAATCCAAATTGCAGCAAGAGCAAATGTTGTACATTTCCTTTAAATGAAGGCATTTCGTTCATGCCCTGAAATGAACATTGTGAACACCATTATCATCATCATAGGAATGTTGAATGCTCGTCAATCTATTTATAACATGCACATCCTGTTTTCGCATTTCCTAAAGGAAATTTACATCGTTCACTGGGGAAAAAGTTTTTTTTTATCCATTTCACTGTGGAGGCACTCCAGTTTCCATATATAATTCTCACCTAAAAGATTCAGCAATTGCATTTCTGTGTATCAATTTATTCACACTTTTCATTGTACACAGTGATTCATAGATTTTTTTTCAATTTTCACAAAAAGTGGGGCACACTTCCTTGTTATTTTTCAGGTTGCACATACAATTTTGCATGGTTGCAATAACCACTGCTGTACTTCAGCCACAAAAGGAAAGAAGAATATTGTACTGATTTCAGATACTATACAGGGTGAGTAAAAAAGAACGAAACCCAAGTGTCGGGACCATTGTTTTAATGAAGTTCTGCATGCAGCACTTTCAAAATCTAGGATATGAATGCCCAATTCATAAGCTTTCTTTTAGTACAAGAATCATTCAGATCACTCATGTACTTTTCAAGTTACGGAGTTTTAAACACAACCACCATTTTAAAGTTCTGTCCACGGATCACAAAAAAAAGGTGTGCGTTCTTTCAGCAAAACAAAAACAATTCACACACATCCTTATGTGATTTGTTTTCAGTTGTTTTGCTGAAAGAACACTAAATTTTTGTGATCCGTGGACAGAAACTTAAAACGGCGGTTGTGTTTAAAACTCCGTAACTTGAAAAGTACATGAGTGATTTGAATGATTCTTGTACTAAAAGAAAGCTTACGAATTGAGCTTTCATATCCTAGATTTTGACAGTGCTACATGCAGAACTTCACTAAAACAATGGTCCCGACCTTTGGGTTTTATTTTTTTTTTGACTCACCCTGTTGTTAGGGTAGACCACAGCAATTTCCAAATTGCGCTTACTGCAAATACTGAACAAAATCACACCATTTCTGGTTCGCTTCATAATTTACAAACGTATACATGTAGCAAAGTACAATGTACTTGAACCATTGTACATATCATGTAACAAAAAGTTGAGGAAATAAAAAAAAGTTAAATGCTATTTGGCAAGTACAAACACTCACTAGTTCAACATTAAGTATTTTCAATACATATGTTCTCAGACCAATTAAGGGATGTGCTGTACTTGAACAAATAATGGCAATGTTGCACATCGTTTGCAACCCCGAGCACTGTGCAACATTTGTAATGGTTGTGTGAGCAGACGTCAGGCCTGGTGCATTTTGCTCTGAAGGATTTTTGCACACTATCCAAAATATGTGTGTTGAACCCGGAGCCCAAGACAGAGATTTTGGGAACCTCTGGGCTTCTGCATGAGGCCAGTGCTCTACACGGGTAGAACTCATACCCTGCTTGGAACCAGGGCTGATAGGCTCTACCCCGGGTAGAAAACCTAAAATCTACCACTGACCCCGTGTGCAACATGGTGTAAGTGTGAACGGTACGCCCTGCCTACCAGTGTTAAATGGAACCAAGTTACACATGCAGTGGGCCCCTGTTGACTTTAAAGCCTGGTTTCTATATCGACGTTAAGCTTATGCAGACAGTACGCGCGCGGAACAGTCAGCAAAATTGAACCGGGTTCAACTTTGCCGATCGTCTGCAAGGTAGTTCGCGACTGTCTGAGTTGTCGGCGACGCTTCAGGATGAAATGTTTCCTTATGTCTGCGTTGCAGTTTGGGTCCTGTTTGCGCTTTGAGGTTTCTTACGTCGATATGGAAAGTAGGCTTTACACTGGCAGAAGATCATGGTGTGAACAATTCCTCAGTTTAGTCTGTCACAGGTGGCTATACTGACTATATTAAGTCAGGAAAATGAACCATAATAATCCATGACTAAATATTTTGCGATCAAAATCTGAACAATACCATGGGACAGGAAATGAAGCTGTGAATCTATAAGGAAATAAAACTGTGTAATGTCTTAATACTGTTTATCCAAGCCACATGGTTTTTTTTTAAACTAAACATTTCCCCAAACCATTAAAGGTACGTGTACATTGGATCATTTCCTTTTTGTGCATTTTTATCCTCATTTGAACAACAAAGTTGCTCAAAAATAAGGGTGCATAGCAACTAACCTGTTGAACTTTCAGCTCAACTATAAATCTTGAGAAAACAGAGAAAAACGTATGCAAAACTTTTTCTACATGTACTCGCAACTGCATTCTGTTGCAAATGCACATTGAAAAAATAAGTAATATTCTGAAACCACCTTCAACGTTTCAGAATAACACCATTTCAGGCAAAGTAATTTCACTGGGTATTTGATACCAGTCCTGCCATCACATTTAGCAAGGTTTTTGTGGGCAATTCCACGGTTACTCACGTTACATTTTTGATGTACTTTTGAGTTTCCTTGGGCTGTAATTACCTTACTGAAAAGGTTTAATAACTGTTATCCCCATGGTAGATAGAGTAGACCTAGACCTACCTAAGCACCAAAGATGACATCCAGAAAAATGTGTCATAAACAAGACGCACAAAATCGTTTACTCACGTTACAAAAATGTAACGTGAGTAACCGTGGAATTGCCCTTGTCAATAAATCAGCAGGTACTGTTACTGCTAACTGCAAATGATCCGAAGTCCTTATCTGAACAATAGCTATCACAATGCTTTCATGCACCATTGAGAGGGGCCTTCGTAATATCATTGCCTACAAATGAACAGGGAAAAAGTGCAACAAGGTTATTCAGGATTGACAGACTAGTCATGAGGAAGTCATGTCACTTTGTGAAGAGAAGACAATTAAAGAGAGTTATTTGCTTCCAAAGCTGTGAGTACACGAGAAATAACTTTGACACTTTTCAAGAAATGTAGATAACCTGTATGTCTGACTCGATGGAATTCACGTGTCTTGCTTTTTAGAAACAAACTATTGTGTTACAAAAGCTATTCTGGTAAGTAGCGCATGAGCAGATGTTAAACTACACAAGCAGCAGGCACTGACAACACGTGTATGTGGTCACCAATGCATGGAACGGTGCAATGTACGGGCAACTCATATTGGCTTCAATCTTGACCTCGACACTTTCGACATTATTCCTAACACCAGTCCTGCCATGTAGGATATCATTACAGAGTTGCGGTCAAGTGCTCGTAGGTTTTCACAAGTTTATCACAAGTCATTCTCAAGATGCTCAGTCTCAAGTCATATGGTGTGACTATGCTACAATAGGGATGTAGTCCAGTCAAATTTAGTCCAATCACAAGTCCAGTCACAAGTTAATCACAAGTCCATCCAGAGTGGATGAACAATAACAAAAGGAATGCTTTGCCAAAACTCATGTGAGTAGCTTATGAGTTGAATTGGGACTGGAGGACTTGTGATGGACTTGCAGGGACTTGTGATGCACATCCCTGTGCTCTTAAGACACTGTAATGGTTCATCCTCAGTTACTTGCAACCTTTCTTTTGACTTGAGCTGTGATTTCACTTGAGATGACTTCTGATGGATTTTGAAGTCCGACTCAGTTTTTGCTTTGGTCAAGGTCAATCAGGCCAATCAGGCAAAGTTTCTAAGTAATCAATCCATGTGCTAAATATCAAACGAATGAATACTGGTTTTTGACGGCCCGGGTTGACGAGCCCCTTCCCTGGCCGTCGAGAGGGGAGGGCGACTGACCGCCCGAATTCATGGACAGGGAAAACTGGCTGCCGGAGCCGAGGAACTCGTTGGATGAGACCATGAGGGAATTGGAGTTGCCCAGCCCCCGGCCGTTGCCGCCCGCCTCGGGGGTCTGGGGCGTGAGAGGGGTGCTAGGGGTGCTGACCGACTGGGCGTTGGGCACGTACTCGGTCAGAGTCACGTCCGGCTGGCTGGCCCCGTCCCGGCTGTCCAAGGGGATGGGGTTGGAGCGGAAGTAGTCCAGCATGTCGATGATGCTCTCGAACCACATGTGGGTGACCTGGCACCGGCCGCTGCCGTCAAGAGTCAGTCGAAGATGCTGTGGAAGGAGAAAAAAAGGAATAAGGAGAGAAATGGATGAGTAAGACTTTCAAGAAAGAAAAAGCAACAGGAGTGAATTATAACAGTTTTTTTAACTCAGTACTGGGTGATGAAGTAAGTTCCATTGCAAATTTGTACACATAAACTATCATGACAGTATTTCTTGATCAAACTTGCTAAATGATTAAATGATATTGGATGTTACTTTGAATTCCTGTATAATGATGAACCCTATTTTAAATTTGAAATGCTTATATAGCGCTTTCCATTATTTCCCCATTCATCAACCCACGATAACGGTTAATTCTCAAATAGGGTTTACTGGAACGTGTTTGTTTACCGAAAATGTTCAAGATTCTAAGATTTGTGCAATGCATGATTGGTTTCAGTAAACTACTGTAAGTTTTCCTAGTACTTCATAGAAGCAACTGCACTGATCTGCAAGCCAGCTGCCACTTTCGCGTAATTAAACGATTCTTTCCAACGTGCCGCTTTCACTGCCACGCATTATTAAATGCATTTTTTTCCCCTAATTAAGTCAACCACGAACTGTGAAAGACCGTGTGTCTATGCCATATGTGGCAGCCGATGCATGGAAGCGCACACATTCAGTTGCTGTTTTTCTCAGAAGACAGAGAATTAAAGTTGGGGAAAACGTACATGACATTAACCCTCTGGTGACCAGATTTTTTCTCAGTACAGGATACAGGAATTCCCAGGAATTCTGTGGATTTTTTTGTACCTGGAAAATGTTTCTAGAACACAGATAAAACTTAGTATCTTTTGGTTTTTTTTTGTTTTTTTTAATTCTCTACACGTAAACTATCGGTATTAAAACTGTTCTCTTGATGTGTTGTTTGAATAAAAAGAAAGTTAAAAATCGCCTGCCATTCTCTGATGTATTGGTAGTTTTTTTTTACTTTTATTATCCGAGATTGCTACGGACAAAGTTCAAATTAGTATGGGGGTCAGCGAAGTTATGCAGTCGATTCCATCACAAGTTCAGCAAAAGTCTAGCCTGCATGAACAAAGGAATGCCTAGGTCACAATTCATGTGAACAGCTCGTGACTTAACTTGAGACTGATGTACACTGCAGTACACTGCAGCCTTAAGGTGCCCTCAGGTAGATTCACGATTTGCTTACGCCGCGACGGAACCGTCAGCATCAAGCAGAAAATATATGCTCAGGTCAGAAACCTGAGCGAAATTGTGTGATTCTCGTGGAACAAGTGGCATCTCGGCGCAAAATAATCGCAAAACACACATGTCACCCACAACACGATGACGATTCTACGGTATAGACAGTCATGTGAAAGCTTATTGATTACAATCAAATGACATTCCACGGCCACGCCAGCAGTTCAGTCAGCCGTTTTTGCCACACGCTGATTGGCTACATGACTGCGATTGACTTCCGCCTGTTGGGAACACGTCGCAGAAATGTTTCTAGTTTTGCGACTGTTGATTTTATCGAGTGCAAACTGTTGCCAATCGTCTTAATATCGTCGCAGTTACACTCAGGTTACACTCAGGTTCTCGACGATCATAGCTCAGGCAAAGCTAGATCCTGAAAAGTCAGTCGCAGCCTGATCTGTCTCATCACAAGGTCTACCTGAGGGCACCTTTATGAACCCCACGGCCCGAAGAAGGAAGATGAAGGCGAAGGTGTAAAAAAAAAAGCTCGCTTTCAGCCTCAGCTTCAATTCTAATTTGAAATTCATCTATTGGAGCAGCGTTCAGTCCACATAATGCTCAAGCTGTTCAAGATCTCTGTATGTGATATCTCACCTTTGGCCTGCCGTGGAAGTTGAACGTCAGCACGCACTCCCCACGCCGTGTCTCACTCTGTCTGACCAGGAACATGCCGTGGCTTGCGTTACCCCCCTGCAGGACCAGCTTGGCCGCATCCACCCTGGACAGGGTACCGTGGAACCATAGATGCTCATTGAGAGGGTGGTCGGTTACCGGGGCCGGCTCTTCTGAGTCAAGGTTGATGTTTTGATTTGATCCATCTAGATTAAAAGAAAATTTGAGAAAAAAATGCATTTACTCTTTTTAAAATTATTATTTGGCCATTCAGTTTACTTTTCATGATTGGATGGTTTGATGCAGTTGACATACTCCAGGCAACACTGGTTTGAACCGGTTAAAACCACTTCCTTCTGAATAATATCTCACTGTGCATGTACATACTGTATATATAGGGTCTTTCCGTATTTAATGGAGTACAATTGACAGCAAATTTGAGGTTTGAGAGTGGGACATGGAAGGTAAAACAAAGCGAGATATTTTGTTCAGTTTTTCCCTGTTCATTCGTGAGGCCTTACTGATCATACCCACAAAAAAGAAAAAAGGACTGTCTGTGTTCTTCAGAAATTACAGGGCTCATTGTAAATAACGACATAACATGGACCAAATTTTCACTATTAATTGAGAGGACATTAATTATCATGTGCATGAATTTACCCAAATTTCATCTCATTTATATTCATAATCCCATTTTGGATTGTTAACAGCCAAAATAAACACAATTTTCTTGGTCTTTAAGACGTTTATATGTAACGGACGTAACTTTGACAGAAATAGTGTGACAAAGTTATGGTATGTCCATGTTACGTACGTAATATTCTTCACACAATACCCTGTGACATCTTAAATATGCATTGGGTTTTTACAGGTAACAATGCTGTATGTAGGGATAAGAATGAAAAGGCACAATGTTTGGGTAAACATATTTATTGTAATTATAACGTTCTATCAATATTAACAAACTTTCCGTCCATGTTACTACATGTATGTAACATTCCGAGCATGTGTAAAATCTAACTGTAAAGTTTTAAATTCTTGGTGAGCACAATCCTCAACAATGGGGTGAAAATGTATAATACAAGGAAAAAAGAGGACAAACAACTTGATATTATTATCCTGCTTCATTTCCCAATTCCATGTCACACTTCTGTACCCCTTTAGTGTGGAAAATGAACCACGTTCAGCAGTCACTTCTGAATGGTACGCGGTCACAGTGAGGTGCCTCCCTTTTATGCCTTTCAGCTACACGTAAAAAAAACACAGGAGGGTGTCATGGGTTGGTCTTACATGATCCAATTTTCTCACAAATATAGTGTACATGTACATTGTGGACTAGAGTTATATGAACAAATTTGCGTGACTGTTCGGTATAGGCTCTGTATAATTTACAAGTACTGCTGCGTAACTGGAAGGGCTTGTGAACTAGAAACAATACAATCTTGACTTAAGTTCTAAGGATGCATGGTTATGATCGAGACTTTTTGGAAAATGCTAAAAAAAAAAATTTTAGAAACTGTTTTTCAGAGAAAAAAAAGAGAGTCATTATTTTAAACATCCTTGACGAAATACTATTTTTCCCAACAATTTCAGGAAATACAGGAAAGTTTTGAAATTTTCAGGAAAACTTTCAATTAAGTTGGGAAAACAGGGAACTCTAAACGTTCTTCTTTATAGCAGAATCGCACTAGAGCTCAAAAATATGCATTATTTCAATGTCATTTTTATTTACTCTTTAGGAGGGTCGGGGCCGGAGGTGGGTTGGGGAATGAGGGGGTGGGTCACTGTGGGTGGGTTAGACAGAGAATTGGGGAGCCTGAAAATGCCCATTACGGACTTGCGATTCAGAAAAACAAAACGATTATCCCCACCAAAGGCCCTGTTACTAGCAAAGCACCTGTGATTCCTGCATAAAAACCTCACACATCTGTCACCTCAACTTTGACACCCTAAACCCCGAGATCATGAACACGACAGTCCTGTCTGGTTGACTTTGACTCTGTATACAGCTGACAAAAACAGCAGTGCGAGTACTGCACCAGGCAGGATGTGAATAATACATGGTATGAATGACCCAGCAGTCTCTCTAGAAAACTGAATCTGCAAACTTTTCTTTTGTACTTGTTTGCACAGGGACTACCCCCAAAATGCAGCCATGCACATCAAACTGAGGCAACAACACCTTTAATGAGCGAGGGTGGAATCAGAAATGAAGGGGAATGAAAGGAAAGGGCTTAAGGGCACATGTGATGAATGTATGAAAACCTTGTGTTATGACTAAGCTTGTACATGTACATTTTGTACAGTACTGTGAAGTTCGTACACATGTACACGCAATGTAACACATTGTATATACAATTTACAAAGTGTAATATACAATGTATAAAAATATTTCATTTTCTTGTTACATGTATGTCTCATACATACATGTACTTTTAACAAGTTATTTCTGTTCAGTTAGATTCCTCCTAATCAGTGGTGGATCTAGCACTTACGGAAGGGGGGGGGGTGCCTAAAATGGAGGCGAAACCCGAACATCCAACCAGGCATTTTCTCATGTGGGTGAACATTTCTGTGTTTGAAACGATTAAATAACCAGTTGATAGCAGAAGCAACAGGGAAAAAGGACAAGACATACATGTATACCTCCTAAAAAAAAACACTGTGAAATATGGATCCGCTGCTAATTGATATGTACCCTTATTGAAGTGTATGCAAGATACTTTCAATTTGATTCCCAACTGAAGTGTATTTCCACTTTCATTTTTCCCCAAAACAAAATTTCAAAGATAATTTCAAATACATTTGTACTTTTAAACTTCGATATTATTGTATAAAACATGCTGCTGTTCATAAAAATGCATATTTATGACGCCAAAGGAATATTGACTTTGAAACTGCATGCGCATCAAACATGGGCAGCGGCAAGTATACCAGCCAAATTTCACAACAGCTACAAGGACTGTGTGGACTCAGACATGGACTGTCCAGAGTCCCCTCGACTTTTCTTCCAAAATGGAAGAACACTTTTATGGTTGCCACAACCCAATTGAAAAACAAGACCATGTGCTCCTGTACATGTGTGGCACTACTCAAGTTCCAGACAAGTAGCAACTCCATGACAATATTTTTTTTTTTTTCTCCACAGAACACTTGTGGGATTTCTTGCCTTGACCTTCTAATCCCTGCACCACAGTCTTTTATGTGTCCAGCAGAGTTTGTCATTCACAAACTTGGCAACCTTGAACAGCAGTGCGCCTACAAGTCCAAGGTCGTCTGACTTTCTGGGTTACCACATGTGTGCATGCAGCCGGTGAACATTGGGCATATGTGTGTATACTGAGTAGACATGTTTTTCCTGCGTCTTTCTGTAGTGCTTGTATATTCACATGATTTTTTGTTTGATTGCCATACATGTACACAATGTACATGAGAAATTTGCACTGGTGTTTGCTTTCAAGTACGAACCGGCATATAGACCGTGTTACATTTTTATTTACAATTTGAAAATTGTGGTTACGTGTTGCCAATTTTTAGCTAACTGTTCTCCTCTTGTTTTATTAATTATTTTATTTCTGGTACTGAAACCAAGCATTCCTCAAAAGCACTCTAGGCACTGTAGCTTGCAAGCCTGAAGAAAAAAAACATGCAGAGAGAAGACAATGAGACATCACAGTTTTAGAGGTGGGAGGAAAACCTCAGAAGAATATTCTGGGGGAAACACCCACGGAATCAGGAAGGGACTGAAAACTCAATCCACATGTGAACCGGGGGCAGGCATCAAACCCGGGCCATGAAGGTGGAAGGCGAGGAAAGAAGCCATTGTGCCAACTTAACTACCTTCCTCCTCTGCACTGCCTGTGTATCTCTTAAAATGTGATGGATTAATAGTGATGACATAAACCGTTTAGTGGGCAAAACAACATGCCTGTCAGTTGCCGGTTGCCGGTTGCCAGTTGGTATAGAAGTCATGGGGCACATGGTATTTACATGTAGGACTATTACTTTTCCTTGCAAAATTCTTCCCTGCATGGTCTCTTTTGGATACATTTTGTTTAGCCATTGACACAGGGTTGGCACTTTCATACATGCGCATGACCCCTGTGCGCAAAATGTGCAAGTGACTGAAATACCCACAATCCTTTGTGACATTTTTATTTCCTTCACAACTTGTGGTGACGGGAGTCATTGCCTTGGGTAGCGTGGGGGTAACGAGACAAGCAAAGTTTGCATCACTTCTTTGAGTCCAAAAATACTCACCCAGGATTCTGGACTGAGCATCATGCAGCGGGGGCAAGTCGGGGCTCAGGGGTGTGTCGGAGCCGCCGCTGGGCAACCGATCCGGACTGTTAGTGTTGCCATGGCGGCGACGTGGCGGGATCCGGGGCGGTGGGGATGCAGGTGGGCTTGGATCCCGACTGGAGAAGCCCTCCCCAGAGTTCTCGGGTGTAAGTGGGCTGCGGGAGTTGCTGGGGCTGTTGGCTGTCCAATCTGTTGGGAAGAAAATTTCATACAGTGCAAAAATATTGGCTTTTTTATTAGGTACATGTACGCAGAAAAAGTGGTCTGTCATGAGCCAATATGGCCCATCAGGCCGGGATTTACCGGTATCTCCGGCTTCAGTGGCATGAAACGACTGAGAAGATTTCTACTCCTCCTGGATGGGATGCCAGTCCATCGCAGGTTACTCCCCACCTAATGCCGGTACCCATTTATACTCTTGGTTGGAGAGAGGCAAGTGGCTTGCCCAATATACCGGCACGGCCAGCAGCTTCTGAACCTTTGACCCTCTGATCGTGAGTCAGGAATCCTATAACACTAGGCTACACTTCCCCACATTATAAACATGTACCAGTACATGTAGTTCCCGTATCTTCACAGGCCAGGGAATACGGAAGTATTAATGTGGCCCTGCAGTCACTGTGTGGACCTGTGAACAATAAACGATGTCCACACAATGCAGGAGTTTAGACCTTACATGTATGTGGACTTGCAGTTAGCCACATAATGTTTTACAATTCCTGAAAAACAATTTTGGGAATTATTTTGGGGTAAGTGTCAACGTCAAAAAAAAATAAAGTAGAACATTCACGGAAATATCGGTTTCAAGGAAAACCAGTATGGGTGATCTGATACACCGTACCCTCTGGAGACGTATGTACAATAGGGAACAAAAGATTGTATACGTCTCCACAGGGCAATTTCTATGGATGAATACATGTATGTCTCCACAAGGTTTTCACGAAATAGATATACGGATTTTATGCAAAAACTAGGAATTTCCAAGCTATGTTGATCTGTCGCAAATGGAAGTTTTAGAAAAGGGATATTAAGTTCAAATTTCAGCCAAGGAAATTAATTCTGGTTAAAATAAGAGCATTTTTAAACTACACTTTCAAACTCGAAAACTATACAACACGAGAACAAAAGAATGTCTCAACAAGGATACAAATTCCAGTAAGGAAGTTCACATGTGTTTAGGTATAGGCCATACATGTACCGGTATTTATACTTGTTTAAATGTATCAATGCAAACACTTGGAATTGTGGTCATACTTGCATTTTCTGTCCACCGAAGTATTAAATGTAAATTATTTACTGTAAATTTCCTGGATTTTTGTTCCAGTTACACTCCCAACTCTCATACAATGCAATAACACACTGAGAGAAAAGTAATAAGCAAAACAAAACACTGTACCAGTTGGATATCATCAGCATTGCTTTTTTATACCACCGGCCTCCATGTACTGACAGTGAATGTTGGAGGATTTTGAGGGATTGAGGCAGTGGTCACCTATCTAATGAAAATAAGAGAAATAGGAGGATTCTGGAAGATTGAGGCACACTTCCAAATAAAAATGGTGCCGGTCGATGGCGACATGTTGGCTTGCACTCTGATATTTTTCCTTCTTTGTATTGTTGTTCTTAACAGTAACGTGTTGGCAATGTTTCAGTATAATAGGGAAGAACTCCTAAATACATGTATGTTATTATTACAAGTACTAATTTTTGTGGCCATTGTTTTCATTGTATGGTACTTTAATTGAGTCGTTTCTATGCGAGTCCAACATAACAAATTTCTGTGATTTTTTTAAAGCCAGAGTCCATCATTTGCAGCTATCCAAAAAGTAACTGGCGCAACTATTGTTAAAAAAACATACTTGGCTGAAAGATAGTAACCTGGGGACTAAACTCCCTAAGAAATTATTCTTTCTGGCAAGCTGTCGTTTTGAAGAAATCAACAAAAGAAGGCCTTTCCAACGGTGCTTCTTAAGAAGAAATTCAAATTAGTAGTTCGTTTTGTTATTCGGCAAAGTGCGCGTAAGCATTGGCACAACGCACACACGCGATTAAAGCTGAGCTGAAACTTCACCAGCTTAGTTGTTCAGCAACATTCTTTAGATCTTGAGCACTTTATGCTTGATATTATCAGCACTGCTATAATTAGTCGGATCAGTGCACGACATCGCGTAGCTGCAATCGGCTCAGTGAGAAAGTGTCTCTGACGCTAAATTCAGGCCAAATTCAAAACATGATTCAGCAACTATTGATTTGAAATCGAGATCCTAGAATGTTTTTTTTTTTTTTTAAATATACAGCTAAAGCTGAGCTGAAACTTCACCAGCTTAGTTGTTCAGCACCCTTCTTTAGATCTTGAGCACTTTAATTGCTTCAAACGAACAAAATGCACAAATTACAAATGATGGACTATACCTTTAATCATTGGCTGAAGAAGTCAATCTTAATCTTCACCTTAATCTTCAATTTTTATGGGGAGGTACATGTAGCTTGTGGAAGGATTAAGGATCTACTAAAAAAGGGCAGGTTATTAAAAAATAACCCTCCTCAATCCTATAAAATCCTTCTGGTGGTTTTCAAGGATTTGGGAGGATTGAGGCTGAATGCATGGCAAAAGAAGGGTCGGTTGATTTTGGCGGATGCACTGTGTCGAGTTTGTAGGCAGCTGTACCCTGCATTGTTTATGTTCAGCCATGCATAAAAAGAGCTAGCCCTGGCATTATGCTCGATATTATCCGCACTACTTCTGAATGTCATCGGCACTGCCTCAACCCATTATACAGTGATTGTTGGAGGATTGTGAAGGATTGAGGCAATGGTCACCCCTCCGCTGAACAAATTCAAGAAATAACGGATGATTTTGGAGGATTGAGGCTGAATCCAATTTTTACACGGTGGCAACAGGAGGATTTTGCAGGATTGAGGATGGTCCCTGGCCAAAGGGGCGGGGGGGGGGGGGGGGGGGGGGATTAATGAACTAAGCAAAATAAGGCCTTGACATACAGTTACATGTATGTAAGATGCATGCCCCATGCTAACCATGAGATTTATGTGCATTGCTTTTTCTCATGCAGCAAAAATATTGAGATAACTTTGAAAAATAGAAGTCCCTGGAGAGGTTGTTTAGTTGACTTACCAGGGATTTGAACGGTGAGGTTCGGTCTCGCCCTCAAGAAACTGAAGGAGGACGAGGAGTTGTCGGGCTCTGGGGAATGATCAGGCACGCTGGGTAATGGTCTCCTGTCATAAAAGAAATAATGTACACAAAAACAGAAAAAGAAAAACGCATTAGGTCAATTTACATTCACTGACAATAGAACTTTGCGTGAAGAGGGATATTGTCAACATGAACAAGTGCAAGTTAAAGGGGCAATGCTGCCTGGCTGAAAGGAAATTAACATAATGTCTTAACGTTCCCGAGAAAAAAACCCTGTTTTTTATGGACACAGCGGAGTGATTCCCTGTGTGCAGGGGACGTATTAGTGAACCCTAAATCCTAAATTGCTACTCGTGAGTTCCTGCTCCTACTCACGCCAGGACGAGTACTCCAGTAGATGAAAAACTATGAGTATAACGAGTAGCATAAACTACGTGCAAGTAATCGAGTTACTCGCCCAGTGGTAATATAGTTTAGTCACAAAAGTAATTCTGAAGTAGGAACAAAGAAAATTACAGGTTCCAACCCCGATCCAGTTAATTTTGTTTCCACCTTTAAAATTATTATTTAAAATGCACCCAGTGCAGTTTCCCTTTATGGTTTGTTTGAAAAGTAATCACAAACAGTTTTGTGGGTTAACAGTTTTGCCTACGGTACTTGTACGCAAGTCATAATCTGTAGTCTCTCCTTGATGTTGGAAGTTGATATTATAGACTTGATATTATCAATGCCTGGAAACTAATTCTAGAAAAAATATTGTGTTGGGACAGTTACGGTACTTGCACATGTACACGTGGCATAATCTGCCTTTCAGAAGAGGTTTAAAACAATACCCTACTGACCCCAATGGGTCCTGGAACATAGGATACAATGAGGAAGTAAAAAAATGCAAAATGTTATACACACATTTGCAGCACAGATAAATATCGTTGTTGAATTTAAGCTGTTTCACTACCTGAGTGTAAAAACGAAACCATGTATGTATGTGCTTGGAGCAGGAAAGCTGCCCTACCAATTGCTGGAGCTTAACCCTCCTACTGTTTGAACAGTCACAGACAATCAAAAATTCCATCCACTTCCCCTGCTATGCCTTTTACACAGGCTAGTCACCAACAGTCAAATCACATTTAGAATTAGAGCAAGCACTGTGACTAGTCAAATTCAGTCAACGGACAATAGCAGGCAACTGGTAGATACAATCAAAGCATAGCTGTATCAAGTTACATAAACTGTCACAGACAGTCAAAAATTCCATCCACTTCCCCTGCTATGCCTTTTACACATGCTAGTCACCAACAGTCAGATCATATGTCAAGCAAGCACTCTGACTAGTCAAATTCAGAGCCAACAGACAAAGGCAGGCAAGTGGTAGACACAACTGGCTTATCAATCACCTACAGTCACCGTGAGCATAGCTGTATCAAGTTACTTAAACAGTCATAGCCAGTCAATCATACTATGGATGTAGGTCTCCCACTTGACTGATTATGACTGAAAAGACAACTTTGCACAGAGTGTAAGTTTGCATAGGAGGGTTAATCTGTGCCCAATATACTGATATTTGATTAGTATTCATATCAGACGTCCAAGTAGTAAAAAATAAATCAGTGTATTGCATGCATTGTACTTTCGAAAAAGTACATGTACCTGGATGACTATCCAATTAGCAAGAATAACCAACTACTAAATCATATGAAAAATGCACAGCACTAACAACTGCATGTATGTATGTATACATGTATAGCCTGAAGGCACTGGAGTCTGCATCATATGTCTTTGGGTCTCAGTCCAAATCTTACCTCTGCCACGGAGGTTATGTTTTCATTGGATTTGATTAGTTTGTTGGCTGGATACTTTGTCTGTTAACAAGATAACCTACCGGTAAAAAGACGGATTTGCATGAAAACAATTTTAGGGGTGGTCCTTGGTACAAGTACATATCACTTAGATTTTGGAAGTGATCCGGATCTGGGTCTGGATCCAGGATTTTTTGAGATGATTCTTCACCATTTATGCGAGTATTTCTTTTGGGTGTACTGACAGTATGGCGGGAAATTGTTTAGCCTTGGCAGAGGTTTGCGCTCTCTGAGTGCTTTCTAGCTTCTTCCATTTTTCACCAGTAGGCCAGCAAGTCTAGCATGTTTGGGGAAAAGATTTGGAGGGACTCAAGCCCTTGACGGACCAACCTCTTCCCCAGAGTTTCAAGCAGTACGCGCCCACCACTACCTGCTCTCTCACCCTGGTATTGGATCATTTGCATGTGCAAGATTTTTGAACACGTATGCAAATGAGGAATAGTCTGGTGCCTGCCTATGCGTTACATTAGCGTTTGTTTTTGTATGCGGTGTCTGGGGTAAAAACAGAACCAATTCGCGCAGTGAGTTACGAAAACACGATTGTTTTCAAAGTTAAAATGTTACAATCTTATCCCGCCAATTATGCAGTATCACATTTCATATTAATATGAGCAAATTGCAAAGGAAAGGAGTATTTTGAGAAGGCGTGGACGTTTTTAATTACAATGATTGCGAAAACACGTGCTGCACGTTGAAAATAACAAAACCAAGTACACGGTATAAATCCATTACTAGCCGATTGCAGCATCAAATCAGGATACAGGAAGAAAGTTTGCTATCCAGGGCTTACTATTGGAAACGTGGTTGGAAATGAAGTAAGCACTGGAGACGAGGTTGTTGACGGACCAGTTCTTAAAGTACACGCCACTGAAAACAAGAGGCAAAAGAACTCTTCAGTGCCACCAGTTGCTTGAAAAAGGAGAGTTTCAAGCCAAAGCCTCCCCCTTCCAAATATCTTTTAGTTTGCTGAATTTGAAAGGGGAAATGTTTGGAGACGAGGCTGATTTTTGGAAAGGAAAAATCCAACAATTTTCAACAAGCCAAGCAGCATACATGTACATGTATGTATACGTGGCATCATTCAATTACATTGCCATGAACTTTTTGACTCACTATTTAATAATATTCAAGTTTGAGTCACTAGACGGCTATAAAATTGGTGGGGCTTACTTTGCGCTTGAAGTGCGCGAACCAGTACACACTGTTGTGTCCCGTCCACACGGTTCTCACAAGTTAAGAAACGGAAATATTTACGTACACTTTTATTGTAAGTCCTAGTGAAATTCTTTGAAAGGAACTTCATGTACCGTACATGTACATGTACATGTACATCAAAAGTCTTGCCCACCCGGGGTTCTTGGCAAGCATTCAGACTGAGTTAAGCCATTTCCGCTTCTTGAAGTACATGTACGTTACTAGAATACATGTGCAATGTGCATGCATGGAATGATGGGAGGTATTCGCCGTCATGGCCGTGATGTCACGGAGAGGTCACAAGCTTGTTAAAGTAGCAATTCGTTGGCACTTTTTTGGTTACATAGTGTGCCGGCTGCCACATAAGTGGCATGGTACTGGTTTGCACGCGAAGTACGCATGACTTACATGTACTGAATGTGCCAAAGCTTACCGGTATTAGCCATGCAGCGTCTTCGTGTAAGCATCAGGCGCCGTTGGCGCCCGCATATATTTTCAAATTCAACTTGCCATGGTCTCCCAGACTAATCCCTGTCCCAATAAGTTTGGATCATTTGAAATGCATACTGTACGTAGTAGATGGACATAGAACCAGTCTATGTCTCCCCCAACTCTCCTTTTCTAGCCGTTGAAAGAGTACATGTACATGAACTTGTGCACGGAGCCCATAGTGCCAAACAGTACCCCCTAATGAGCTGCACTTTCTAACCCTGGCAAAACATCGCCAGGCACAACATGACGATGCTTTTCCTTCATGGCGAAAAATACTAAAGTGTAAGACCTATGATTTACATATTAATGTATGGAACATACGTGCATGTACGGTACATGTACAGGTATAGCCTATTCTTCAGAATTCATTGTCCATATAGTGCACACACCTCATTGAATTCAAAGCCCTGGGACTAAAGCGGGAAAGTCTCGATTCGGCGACCTGTTTTTCAGAAGCAAGAACTCCCCTGGAAATTTGACTGTGTGCTTTCTACAGACACGGTAGTGACTCATGATACACACGCATACATGCGTTGTCTCTACGAATAAACGAAGGCTGCAACTGCACAACAGGCCTTTTGGCAATTCAATGAATTCTTTTTGACAACCGTGATCCCAACTCTCTCCCTGGACTTTTTTGTTTTTTAGAGTGATGTTAATTTTAGAATGATGTGAATTTGTACAGGCATGCACTGCGTGTTTTGCGACAGATGACTCTAACCTCAAAATGCCTCTAAATCTATTTTCCAGAGAGGGCGAAACCTTATGTGGACCTGGCTTAGTCCACATAACACTCACACAACCTGCGTTATGTGGACCTGTTATGTTGTCAGGTCCACATAAAGATGGTAAGGTCGGTACACATGTCATCAGCTGTACATTTTGGATTCTTTTGCCCAGGTAGAGCCTCTCAACCCTGTCCTGACCTGGGCCCAATTTCACGGCGCTGCTTAACAGTTAGCAGAAAAGGTGTGTTTAACATAGCAGAAAAATGTGCTAAAAGCACTATTTCACGGCGTGGACGTGCTAACGGTCGCGCGTGCATGGAGATTTCTATTGTTACGTCACTAAGTTAAGCAAATTTTTCCTCGGAAGTAAGCGTGCCTTTTGCTGTGCTTATGCTTACAGTCTCCATGAAATAGACGGAGGCTCTGTTAGCATAAAATCGTGTGATTAGCAGCGCCGTGAAATTGGGCCCTGGGTTGGATTTTGAGTGCTGAACCCATAAAGAAGCCTTGATGATTCCCTGCTTCATTCAATTTAATAGGGATTCCCAAAATCTCCATGTTGGGCAGGGATCCAACATGGAGAATTTGGATAGCCTTTAGATGAGCGTACAGGCTCATCTCCACAAGGTCAAGTCTATAATTTACATTTAGAGTGTCTTCTTTCTCTCTACACATATCCCCATGGAGGTACCCTATAACCACAATGTTTTTACCCTGACACATGTACACTACAAGTGTGTATACAGCCTGTCTAAAAAAAAATGGTACAATCAAAAACGATTTTTTTTTTTTCAATATTAAATCTCAACATAAGTAAGTCGTTATGAGCATCACATTAAAGAAAAAAGACCAGGCTTTCCAATACTTTTCGTTTCATCTCATTTGTTTTTGTCAATCCAGAGATAACTCCAGTTTACTGCGGAACACAAAAATCGAGTTTGTTTCTTTTGCCAAGTTGCAATCTTTTGTGAGCTTCAAGACAGCATGGCGCAGTACTCGAAACAACTCTGCCCACGCATAAAAGTGGCACAAAATCGATTTTGCGCGATCTGACAAACTTTCGAATAGCTACAAACAATTCGCTGGTAACCAGCTAATGTAAGGTGTGCATTCAAAGTACCAACAAAGGTTATTCGTCAGTTGTCGGATTGCGCGCGCATGCACGCGCGATCCGACAAACTGATGAATAGCTTACAAACAGTGTGAAGAACAACCGGCTATTGAAGATTAATGTAATTTGACAAACTGACGAATACGTTTACGATCGAATAAAATCATATCGCACAACTTCTCTGATTAAATAAGTGACCTGATGGATACTTAGGTTCCTATTTTATTCCGAATATATACTAAAAGGGTTTTTATCGAAATATTAAGGGTAAAATACGGCGCCCAGAAAAAACGCGAATTACTTGAAATCGGCATGTCAGCTCTGCGACGATATTTATACATGTAGCAAAAATGCATGTACATGTATGTACGACCAAGATTTGTTGGCATTTCACAATACTACAGGGAAAACCTGCAGTGTAAAGTTACCTGCATGCAGTTTGATGGACGGGAGCGTCTGGTTATTTGTTGGAATAACTAAGCGCTATCATTTTTTTCATGGATCAAGTGACCTCTCCCTCCCCCTCACCCTCATTCTACCCCGCCCCCTTCCCCTTCCTGTCCACTACCATCTCCCAGGGGTGTCGATTTACAAAACAGCTGAATTGATTTTGCAAGTGCAAATTGGAACTGCACTTCAGAGCACTCCAATGGTGAAGGGGGGAGGGAAGGGGAACGCAGGGCAGGAATTGTCATGAATATTCTCTGAGATGGGTCAATAACTTTGCTGGGCACTGCATGGCCGCCCAACGCTGCCTGTAAGTGGGGGCCAAGGGACTTGTGTGGCACTCGGCCGCTTTTGAAAAGCGAAGGTGAGGGAGGCGGGCTGGTGATTTGGCGCACCACTGTCGGAGATTCTTCAGCCCCAGTTATATTCGGAGTGCTGTTCATGTTTATTCTATTACTGTACAGTTTGACAAGTGGACGGAGAACTGAAGGATATTATCATTTACATGTACAGTTAGAATCCAGATTGAACACAAATTATTGACAAACATCTGTACTCTGAGTCAAGATACATATTGTACTAAAGTTTTCTATGTGACATACTGGTACATGTATGTTATTGTTATGAAGGTACATGTAAATCTAATTAGCACTGCATCACAATAAAAAAAGCCAATCTCCAATTAAAGAAACAAACATCGATTGTACCAACAAGAAAATTTGTTAAAGCTATAATCCATCATTTGCAACTATCCAAAAAGTAACTGACGTAATTATTGTTGACAAACATACTTGGTTGAAAGATAGTAAGGGGACTAAACTCCCTGTGAAATTATTCTCTCTGGCAAGCTGTCATTTTGAAGAAATCAATGAAAGAAGGCCTTTCCAATGGTGCGTCTTAAGATGCACCGTTGGAACTTTCCGTTAGTAGTTCGTTTTATTTTGGGCTAAATTGTCCTTCCCTTAAAGGTCATCATGTTTCATGATACTACAATTGTTTGCAGCTACCCAAAAAGTAACTGACGAAAGGATTGTTGAAAAGCTTACTTGGTTAACAGTAATGGCAAAAATATCCCCGTGAAATTAGTCCTTCTGCCATGCTGTCATTTTGAATAAACACTAAAAGAGGGCCTTTACCAAAAGATGTGTTAAGTGACGCATTTTTGGAAATTTCCACAAGTGTAGTTTGTTTGTAATTCAGCAAACGGTGAATGGGTGTGTGCAAGCATTAACACGACGCACACAAGCATGCGGTTGAAATGATTTCTCAGTTCAGTGTGTGACATCGCATAGCTACAATCGGCTGAATGAGAATGTGTCCTGAACGCTGATTTCGGGCGCAATTCAAAATATGACTCGGGAACTTTTGAATTGAAACCGAGATCCTAGAATATTGTTTTCTCGGAATGTACAGCATTCACAGAGCCAAAACTTCACATCAGGTACCGGTAAGTTGTTAAGCACCTGTCTTTAGCTTTTGAGCACTTTTGTTACTTCAAACAAACAAAAATTCACAAATGTCAAATAATCTACCCTATCTTTCATGTCTTTAGGCATCTCCTGAATTGAAATTGTGTCAAGTATGTTTGAGTAGAACTATTATTGGAATCAAACAAACAATATTAAATTTAAAATAGCTCCACCTCCTTTGCATATAAACATTATGGGAAGGGATCAATGACCTCCCACTTCTTCTTCACCTGACCCCACCCCCATAAAGAGACTGTAGCCAGGGCCCAACTTCACGGCGCTGCTAAGCACAAAAATTGCTTAGCACAAAAAAGTCTGGTTTATAAAAGCAGGCTACCAGCCAAAACTCCATGTGATTTTCATGCTAAGCAAACAACAGCTGAATACTGATCACGAGCAATATACATTACGTAGAGTTTTGGCTGGTAACCTGCTTTTATAAGCCAGACTATTTTTGCGCTAAGCAAATTTTTGTGCTAAGCAGCGCCGTGAAATTGGGCCCAGATCTGTTGTTCTTCAAGCTATGCAGACGACTCACCTTGGCAAATTAGGCATATTCATACAGGCCGTGATGTTAGTCAGCCAGGAGCGCATATCCTGCATACTCTGCGCTTCTAAGACATACTCAAGGTTGTTCTCTGCCTGAAAAAAAATTCAACGAAAAATTTAAAACAAACCCATCAATAATTAATGCCCACTTAGCAACACAAACACTACTGAGCACAGCTGCTCTTTTTACATTTTGTATAAACTGCATCTCGTTGCAACACATTTGCAGACAGGCCTAAATTTGGCGGTGTACTTGTACGTGTACATGTACATACATGTACATGTACATACCAAGTTTCGAGTGCAAACTGTTTTAGGGTTTGATTTGGTTGAATTGTTTTTTGTTCAGAGGTATCAAGAGTTTTCATTAGTTTTAACCCTCCGTGTGTTTGATCAGTCACAGACAGTCAAAATGTCAATCCTGTTCCCCTTCCATGCCGTTTACACAGGCTAGTCACCAACAGTCAGATCATATTTCTTGATAGGCACTGTGACAGTCAAATTCCATCAACAGACAAAAGCAGGCAACAGCTGCTTATCAATCTCCTACAGTCAAAGCATAGCTATAATTATCAGGTTTCAAACTATCACAGCCAGTCAATCCTGCTTTACGAAGGCAGGGACTTTCATAAAATTAAAAAAACCAGTCACTTGATTTATTTTGACTGCTGGGCTGGCCTTGTTGAAATTGCCAGCCAGAGAGGGAGGGTTTTAAAATGATAAAATATTAATGCATTTGAACTCTGTTGTTGGTACACATACACTTAGCATATGGGGTTTATGGGGAACCACTATTGTTCGACCCTTGTTCCTATCTTTTGTTCTCCTTTGTCTCCTTAGAAATCTCAAAACCCATAGCATTACGGTTATGGGGTACTTCAATTTCTACAGATAGACTTGCGGGGTACCATTGTCCCTATTGTTGCCCTTTGTTCCCGGTACCCCATAAGTGCCAATATGTAAGCGCACACACGTACATGTACAGTATGTCTGCCAGCTATCACTTGAGGACCTTCAAAGACAGAGCTGACAAACCGTCCCCCTCCCCCTCTCCTCCCAAGATGACCCCATATTTGACCTGGGAGATCTCCTTCAGAAAGTCCCCATCAGGAATTTCCCAGGCCAAACACCCTGAGAAAGTCTCCACTCCCTAGGAATTAATCAAATTACTTGACAAACAATCCAGACCACTCATGTACTTGCACTATCTGTTTAATATTAATCCAAGATCACTTTGTTTAAAGATGCATGCCCCGTGCTACTTCGAGTTTGACCCCGAAAATTAGACTTGTTTTTCAAATGCTCTTTTCCTTATAATATAAAAGTGATTCACTTTTGAATGAGACACTGAACGAAAAGCCACTTATGTTTATTAACTGAATTATTGCTTTACAATCTTCGAACTATTTGTGGCGCGACAAAAATTCAGCACTCGCAGGGCGGGTTCCTTTGTGCGCAAAATGAAAGCCCTTTTTCAGAGGGTTGCAGATGTCCAAAAGAAGGGGAAAAAAGTAGGGTTTTTTGTTAAAACAAACCATGCAAATTTGTTTGCCTCTCCTAAATTTCTGCGGAGAAAAACATTTTTCTGAAGAGCACGGAGCAGCACATCTTTAAGACATGTTCTCCATACCTTCATTTTGAGGTAGCCAAATCCATAGTGATTTTTCCAAGTGGAAACAAATAATGACAAGATGATAAAACCAATATCCCTTTAACAAAAATGGAGGTTTTGACAGGCCCACAGACACATGCACTGTGTTTACCCTCGATCGTGGACATCCTATTGTCCCTCTTTTGTTTGTACTCTTAACTTTTTAGGAAGACTCCCATAGGTTTTGTACACGACCCCAATCGCGAACGTATGCTGGGAATCGTGGATGATATTGTTCTTTTTTGTTCTCTGGTATTTTTCATCTACGGTTTGAAAAGATGAGCACGTACAAGTGAACACAGCTTGAGGAGACAGCGCTTACATTACTGGCAAATGCATCCCTCATCTAAGTAAACTGCTTTCCAGAGATGTACAGTATGATACAACGAAAATGGTGTACACTTGTACACCAAGACCAATGTACACGTGTCCCATACTGTGTTTATTCAAGTAATTCTCACCTTCAGCACAAAAGTGTTTTCTTTTTCAGGGAGTTCCAGTGCAGTCGTCTCTCTGGCCTCTTCTATTAGGAAGCAGAAGATGCCGTTCCTTGGTTTGTTGGACTGCAGATGAGATAAAATAAGAAATGTACAAAATCAGTTCAAAATGCTGGCATATATCATCAAGTTTTGGCACATTCAAAATCCATAAAATTACTGGTAGTTTGATCAGTCAAAACTTTCTTCCACTTCCACTGCCATGCATTTGCATCAGACCAGTACAAAAAAACAGTCAGATCACATTCGTGTAAACACTATGACTAGTCAAATTCCATCAACAGACAAAAGTTGTAGGTAAAGCTGACGCATATGTACAGGTACAAAATATCAATCACCTCCAGTCAAAGCATGGCTATATCATATCAACAAGGGAATTCTTAACTGTTCAAAACAGTCACTTGGTTGATTTTGACTGATGTGATAGCGTACATAATTATGCACATGTAGCTGAATTTGCCAGCCAGAGAGGGAGAATTAATTACAAATGTAAACAATTTTTTTAAAAATCATGTTCACTCATTCAGAAAATGCAGTTTACAGCGTTCATGGATATAGAAGCTAACAAAGGCACAGCTACAGACACACAAAGTCAATGATGGGGACACAGACGACAAGAAATGAGAATCATCCAGAAATTGGTAAAATATCAACTATTATGGGATCTAGAGGGTTCTGCCTCCTGACGGAAGATTATTCAGCAGTACACGTACCAATCTCTTATCTCATCAAGTTCAGAACGATGTTCCCTTCGAATTCCCCTGCCTTCCCTCAGGCACGTTACAAGATACGGGCACTTTTGGACAAACAAGTTGTTATTGCATGGGGAGATCTAAAAGTGGCGAGCAGACAGCGTGCTTGTACCCTAGCGACCATCTGAACTAGTCAGTGCCTCTTCGCTCCCCCGCCCCCTCCCCCCCCCCCCCCAATCCCCAAAATGCTTTCTCACAGGAGCTGTTCATCAGTCTGCGGGGAAGGGGAAATCAGGTGAATGTACTGGACATGACGATGTAATCATCCAGTGAACGGGGAACAAGGAGAATAAAACCCCTCAAATCTTCGCTGTAATCAACGTCTGAGTGACAAACATGGAAAACGAAATCCCCCAATTTCAACCAGCAGATGTGAACTGCACATGCCAGCATACGGTACATTTCTGCATCTTAAATGAGTGCATAAACATTCCTAGGATTGCCACTTGAAATCGTTGAAGGGCAAATAAATCTCATGAATGGTTTTCTTCTGTGAAAACCCAACCATGAAATAAGAAAGTCCCTTTTTTTTTAAGACTTGGATTTAAAGAAAAAAAAATGACTACATGTATGTTATTTGTAATTTAGTCATTCTATAAATTTGGGGTCCACTTTTTTCTGTCCCTGTTACATCTGATATACAGTATATGATTTTATAATTCAGGATGCACTCCATGTATTCTTCCTCCAAGAGTGACTACAAGTGAAGAAGTGACCTACATGTACATGTACCAAACAAATAAAAATTAGTCATTTTAAGTGTCGTTTTTTTAATGATACTCCTTTACTTGCGTGGTAAATTACAAAGAACCACGGTAACAGGGACAGGAAAAAGTCACCCTTTGGACCCTAAATTTATAAATAATAATAATAATTGACAGCACTGAGTTATAAGGCACACTTTATCTTCAAGACATTCAAAGGCACCAGTCTAGATGGAGAAGAGAAAAGTCAATTTTGTGTTTGGGTTGGAAAGGTCAGTAAGAAATGGTACGTGTAAGCCGTGCGTATAATTCTGTTTCCGATATTTACATGTACTGGTATATCAGTCAGTTTAATTTCATGTATTAATGTTTCGAGTTTCAGGCAACCTTTCAATTTTCTTATCACGATACATATTCACATTCAGTATTGAAAACTCCTCTAAAAAAAATAAGTCATTGTTTATATCTTTACGGGTACTTCCCTGTAGATGTTTTCAAATATTGGAACAAAATTATACTTCCCTGTAGATGTTTTCAAATATTGGAACAAAATTATACACACATCAGCGAGATCACGAACCTCTTACGAAAATATCTTTTTCTTAAATTTCACACTGACACACGTTTAAATTTAGCCATTTGATTTGTCTTGCAAAGTTCACTGAAATGCCACCGCATCTCCCACAAGTACAACACACAGAGGTGCCGCCTCTCAAGTGGGGTACATTTTCAGACACTCAATTGTATAGACTCCTCTGAACTTAAATTGAATGCACCTGTGCTCTTCAGCACGTCCAATGTTGTTGCCTGAAGAATTTTCGATTGGTACGTTTTATATGAACAGAAAGATTCCCCTTCCCCCCCCCCCTTTTTTTGGACATTTTCAACCCTCTGAAAATGGTTCTATTTTTGGTAGTATTTGCACCAACACCGGTAATTAGTCACCGAAAATAGGTGTGAATTATTGTCAGGTTGCAATTAATCCGAATATAACATAACCTTGTTTTGCTAGAAAAAAAAAATTAAAAGCAAAACATATTTTTCGATTGAAAGTCACAAAAAGCACAGGGAAGAACAACTTTAATGATGAGATCTATTAAAAACTGAACAGCATAGCGAGGATTTTGATGCAAAGAGCATGTAATGTGTACCGGTACATCTCCATAACCTGAAGAAAGTTTGGCAGAAAAAAACAAGTCACAATCATGAGCCGATTTTTATTTCAACGACCACAAAAATAATAATAAAACAACTTGCCCTGAAAATTTTATGAAATTTTCTCAAAGTGAGCTTTAAAATTGCCCTGAGCAACATCCCCTATTAAAACGCAATTTCTGAAAAAAAACCTACACACTGACCGCTGGGAATATCACAGACCGGAAGACGAACCAGTGTAAGTTACAACGGGGCCCGGGGAAATCATAAAATAATTCCAGCAGCTCTCACGTCATTGTCGGCGGCAGCGCACTCTTCACAGCAATGTATTGAATGTGATTCCGAGAAAGCTAGCAGGATGATTTGTGAATACTTAGTCCAGATTTCGTTTAGTGCGTGACACAAAGACACCATCGGTGCAATGATGAGATCTTGACGCGGGGATGAAAACAGATGACACCGCACTGATAAGCGTGAAATGGAGTGTCCGCTTTACAGTGTTTTATCTCTGAGGCTATTTGCGGATTCGAGTTTTTTATTCTGCACTTTTCAGAGGTCTTGGCCATTCCCAGAAATCACTGTGTTACGTGTAAAATGTTATTAATTAAATCCAAGTAGATGCATGTACAGTTGTACACACGTATACTGTGCGTACATGTACAATGTATACAAGTACATGTACATAATAGATAGCAAACCTGCATTTAAATTGTAATGCAGGGATAGTATTCATGTCTTGTATAAAAAAAGGTTTTTTGCTTGTCTGTACCGTACCGTAGATAGCAAACCTGCAAGGGTTTTTGCTTGAAATTTTAGGAAGACTAGTTTTTTTTTAAGGGGAATTTGACTAAGATGAGTTGTACTGATCTTCTTATCACCATGTTAGGCTATCAGCTTCGGTCCAAAAATTGGGCCACCGGTATCACATGATCGAAAGGAACAATGCTCATAGCGATTTTTGGCAAGGTATGCACATCTAGAGTTAGAAAATGTGAGATAGCTTTGCAGTGTGAGCGGTGGCAGTTTTTTTTTGGTGTTATAGAGGGGGAGGGGGGTTGATAATGGACATAATTCAAAGCTGGCAGGTAATTTTATATACATTTACATGGGCTAATATGCAGGCCTCAACTTAGCACTGGCCCGGCATGCAATGTCTAGTAAAAACTGCTGCATGTTGCAAAACGCACTCTTTAACTTGTATTGCCTGATGAGCTACATGTAGTAAAGAGGCATGCAACTTTTCCTCGAATCCACAGATTTCCATGTTTGTAAAAATATATTTGCATACATGTACGTTCACACGTGATTGGCTGTACATGTATAGATGCTGAGGCCGTGAGTACTTGTACATGATATGACTGCCCTGGTCACATCGTGTCATCATGGTTCGTCACGAACACACGCTAGCTGCCCTGGTGAGGTCAAGCCTTTTTATAGAAAATAATTACTTGTAACTACATGTACAATGCCATTAAAACACTAGAGGTGTATAACCTGTAGCAAAGCATAGACTTTTCCAATTTTTCTCTTTTTTGACTTCGACAAAATAACCACATACATGTAAAGTTGTACATGTAAGAATTTTCAACACAGCATGTATTGTTTTCTTAATATCTTGCCAAGAATTTTGGAAATTATGTAAGTAAACAACTACAAATTGATCCAAATGCATACTAACATGTAAACGCCCTCATATTGCAAAACAGGATAAAAAAAACCAAAATCATCTTTTAAGATTGAGAGCATTGTTAAGTCTAGATGCAGAACTAAACAATAAGAAGACCTTGCCGAATTGTTTGACCTCAAAATTCCCAGCAGATACATGGACATGAACGTTTTATTTAGTCTAAGATAATCTCCAAATATTTAGACTTTGGCACAAACAGTTGGCAATCTGTCAGTGAAGTTGAGTGAACGCTTGGCCCACATAACAGTCTTACTACTACATGGATGTGGATGAGTGTGCCATGAATTTCTGCACGTACATGTTGTACCACAACAAATTCTGACCTAAATACGGGATATTTGACTGTGAATCTTCATTAAATTAATGCACAGACACATTTAAATCATAAATAATATACACATCTCATTATGTCATAGTTTTCAAAAAGTATGATAGACTACCTTGCAGCTGTAAAAAACATCCCTGCTGTTGTTTTTAGGACCAAAAAATGAAGAAAATAATCTTACGAAATCTTGAAACGGTACACAAGCGGCGACTGAGCAATTTAATTCTGTAATTCTCGTTAAATTGATTGAGTTTTAAAGGGAATACCGATATGAACTCTTGCAAACATAGAACAACAAAACAAGCCAGCTATACTGGTTCCCTGACCTTACAATTCCCCGACGTCTATAAATTGCTCTGTTTCATCTTATAATTCCCTGACGTCTATAAATTGCTCTGTTTCATCTTAAGTGGGGTCAGGGAACCAGACTACAAGAACATGAT